CCCCAAAACCCCAAAACCCCAAAACCCCAAAACCCCTTCGTTTTATATGCCGGTTTAAATAAAATTAAATTATATATAATTTAATTCAAGCAGATATGACCACCGTAAAATTAGACAAAGCTGAAGAAGGAATCAAAAAACTTGTGACCATCGGAGTCAAAGATATGGAAGCAGATATTAGCGATCATGAAGCTCAAGGCGATTTAGATAATATGGATAAAAGAGACCTGGTGAAACTTGTCATCAACATGGCAAAGAACGAGCTTAGATATACTAATTATAATTTCTCAGAGATGAATGAAAGGAAGGGACATTTCAAGAGTGCTTTGACCGATTTACAAAAGTCTATTGATGAAAAGACTAAAAAGGCTAAGAAGTACCAATCATTTGGGAATGATCCCCCACAAACGATCAAAGCATTGAAGCAATCTATTCAGCAAAACAACAAAGAAATTGAATCTCTAAAGAAAAATATAGACCAGTTTGAGCACAAGAAGTTTAATGAGCAAAAAGCTCAGAACGATGCAAAGGAACTGATTGACAAGAAGTTGGTCAAAAAGACTTACAAATTCTTGGAGAAGGATACTCATCCTCACCTAGTATCTGTTTTGGAGGTTTATATTGCCCAATTGAGAGCTAGAGATAAAGCATCTAGAGAAGACGTTGAGCTTTATCTTAGAAAGTATGATGGTCTCCTAATTTCAATGAACAGACTGGATACAAGAGATATTCCAGGAGAGTTCCTTCAAATCTACGACAGAGAGCTTGAAAAGAACAAGGGAAAATTCAGAGAAGGATCTGAGAATGAAGATTATGAGCCATTCTATAGTTTTGCTTACTTCACTAATAGACTACTCGAACTAACAGTACAAGAGAAAGAACTTGAAAGGCAAGTCAAGATCCTCGAAGACGACAACAGAGCTAAGGAAAAGGAAATCGACGAAATTGAAACCTTCATAAAAGAAGTAGACGAAGTCATTGATTACCAAAACCAAGTTGATGAGGAAGTCAAACAATTTGATATCCTTCAGGAACATTATAACCTACTCAATTTAAGAGCCAAAAAGATTGGAAAGAAGTCGAAGTTCTTTGAGAAGTACTTCTTTAGACAAGTCAAAGAAAAGCGTAAGCTCAAGGACAACAAGCTCGAGAAGATTGATGTCATGGATGATCTAGACAATGTTCAAGATATTGATGATAGAGTCGAAGAGATGGATTATGAACGCGCTATCACTAAAGTTGAGAAAGATCACAAAAATGATAACCCACTCGGTGATAACCAACTAAGAGCAAAAACTCTAAAGAAGCAACCAACAGCCAATAAAATGCAGAAATCCAAGGCTAAGAGTTCTGGACCAGCCAATGTTGAAGACGTTAAAGTTGAAATGAAAGAAGAGAAGAAGACAAAGGCTACTCCTAAAGAGACAACCAAAGGCAAGGAAGAGTCTGTCGATGATAAATCTGCAGAATCTAGTGAGCCTGAGAGTGTTGACGACCAAAGCAATGAAGATTCCTCTGAAGGTGGAGATGACCAAGATGCAAGTGAAGAGTCAGAAGAGCCAAGTAGCACATAAAATATTCTTACGTAAATGAATCTCTTACAAAAATTTCTTTCTGATACCGCAAATTAATAACCAATTTTATTTAAAAAGAGGGGTTTTGGGGTTTTGGGGTTTTGGGGTTTTGGGG